GCAACTATAATAAAAATATCTGTAAGGCGCTTGGTGCACATTTATTAGCGAAGGTACCATGAACCTTTTGAATTATAGCGCAGTTACTACATTTCTGAAAGTAGCGAAGCGTACCTCTTGGTCCGTAAACACTCCTAGGCTTCAATCTTCTAAACACCATTCGATGCATATTGGCTGCTTCCTGAAATAAACGCAGTGACTTGAAGCTATAGTTATGGGTGCATACTTTTCCAATAAGCACAGCATCCGGGCCCATTTCGACATCAGACTCTTGTGGGAGCTAAATGAAACAAGTTTGCCAAAAGAATGACGTTAATACATAGCCTAGGATACCATAAGCTTGAACAGCATGTTGTACATAAAAAGCGCTTGTGTACCGAGAGGACGCTCAATGACAACAGTGAAACGGTTATTCCTGAAAAAAAAGAAGGAAGCATTCTCAAAGTCATACAAAACCTTGTTCATGGAAAAAGAGTGCAATACTTTGGAGACTACCAAAAAATTAAATCTTTGTAGTGTTTTTATGAAGGCTTCGTTTCGCATAAGTACTCAAAAAAGATTTTTCTTTGGGGAACATGACAACTTACTGTCTTCCTATCAAAGTATTAAGTAACTTAGCAATTACAATTTAAACTAATTTGTTTTATTGTATAATAAGATCCTTTAAATAACTTTCATCATTAGCAGATTTATGCTGGAGTCGATAACCATATTCAACCCTGTATTGTTGGAATCTCAAACTTTAATAACAAACTTGTTAAATTTCTGCGTATATCCTCGAACAAACTCAATATCATTGAATGGTATTGGTGTGCCATCCAAATCCAACAATGCATCGCCAATGCAAAAATATATCGAAGCAATTCCTTTGGGGTCTAACTGAAAATTGCATCTTTCTTCTGTAATGTCCTTACATACTAGTAGTCCACAAATAACAGACCGCAATAACGTGAGCTCTATTTTTCAACAATTTAAGTGTAAATCCGAAAGATGAGACGGGATCACTGGATTCCTGCAAGAGTAAATGTCACGCCAATCCTATGCGGTGTTCTTCATAATTTCGAGCACTCAAAAAAGGCGTCTGTTTTGCTATAAGTAAATTCCTCTAGAATTTGAATAA